AATTTTTGAACAAAACATATTTTTTAGTGTTTCCTTGTTTTTCATAGCGTTTATTGACGTGTATCATCAGGCAACAAACTTGGCTTTTCGACTTGCATGTTTGGTGTACATAGACCCATCCAAGACTAGCCTCAAACCACCCTTGTCGGTCTGAGTAACCTCCATGGTGGAATCGTTACTGATGTTGTACTGGTATATTTATACCTTACACTACAAACTGAAACCAGTCTAGTTCTTATCAATCAGAGGAAACACTGACTTACAATGTAATCAACCAAAATCACAACATAATCAGTGAAAAAAAAAAAAAAAGGATAAAAGATCATTTTATCTATTTAACAACCCATATGAGTAAGTTATCAATGATTTTATTAAATCTTTGACATCAAAGTTGATGAATAAATAGGTTTCTATTACAAGAGGACTTTTTTTCCCGGAGAACTATTTTTCCCGGTACTTTTTTACCGCAGACATTTTTTTCCCCGAGGACTTTTTTTTCCTACAATCTACACCCTCTCAATGTCCACCACAACATTCTCATAATTCAGAAATCCCCTCCCAATGCCCAATACACCCATCCACCATTTCTACCCAAAGCCTACCTACTCTCAAAACTCAACTTACTTTTCTTCATATGTTACTATATCATCATCATCCTCACCCCAAACCCCTCCCAATGCAGCACCACATCCACCCTTAGATGCTCCACCCCCATCTCCATCCCACCCTCAACGATTCAAAATGAAACACAAACTATCCATTGATATCCACAAGCGAGGTCTGCTGATTCGAAGTATTGGCTTTACAGTACTACAAGGAGGTACAAAGCTCACGATATATCAGTTTAGAGAGTCAGTTCAGAATTTACGTTGCCTCTGTAATATTTCAGGCCATATAGCACCGAGACCAAATTTACACATATACGTAAGTCTCCCCAGTTAAGAACTCCTCGTCACATTACAGAGAAACCTGTCTAAACCGGCACCCCATGGGACCGAAATAAAATGCCGGTTAGGACAGGGTGCTGGATTAGACAGTGACAATCATTTTCCAACATTATCTAGCGTACCTAGAGGATTACAGTATAATTAGCGTATTGGATTATGGGTCCTTGATTGGACTGCTCATACCCATGCCGGTTTAGACAGTGTTAATTACAGTTAAAATTGCTTGTTGGGACCGGAAAGTCGTGCCGGAATACGGAATAGACAGGTGCCAGATTAGACAATGCTTTAATGATCATAATATCATTGTAAAATGGCGGGACCAACATTTTATGCCGGTTTTGACAGTGTGCCAGATTAGACAGGTGCCGGTGTTGGCAGGTTTCACTGTATATACAATACACTACATTACAAGATGCATTGACGTAAACGTATGACAACAACTGTTCAAGAGCCCATTTCAGCAGATGCTCACATTTCCTGATTGGCTGTAAACAGCAGAATCTACACTGATCCTCCCAGCTTATGTTTCCCCCTATAATATCCAATCTTTGCTGTCTGAAATTTGAAAACAAATGCTCGAGGGTTGTGATTTACCTGTATAAAGAAACCGAATGTGAACTGATGAACTAACAGCACTGTATGAGATACTAATCATATTGCTTAGATATTCTCAGGCTACATATTGTATAACTTCCATATTCTCAGGCTACATATTGTATAACTTCCATATTCTCAGGCTACGCATTGTATAACTTCCATATTCTCAGGATACATATTGTATAACTTCCATATTCTCAGGCTACGCATTGCATAAGTTCCATATTATCAGGATACATATTGTATAACTTCCATATTATCAGGATACATATTGTATAACTTCCATATTATCAGGATACGTATTGTATAACTTCCATATTATCAGGATACATATTGTACAACTTCCATATTATCAGGCTACGCATTGTATAACTTCCATATTTTTAGGATACATATTGTATCACCTCCCTATTCTCAGATACATATTGTATCACCTCCATATTCTCAGATACATATTGTATCACCTCCCTATTCTCAGGATACATATTGTATCACCTCCATATTCTCAGGATACTTATTGTATCACCTCTATATTATCAGGATACATATTGCATCACCTCCATATTCTCAGGATACATATTGTATCACCTCCATATTCTCAGGATACTTATCGCACTGCCACCAAATTATCAGGATACATATCATATCGTATTATAACTGCACACCTCTGTAGAACAGGCATGAAATTTAAACAGACATTAAGGATTTAATTTTTAACATGTTTTGTTCATCTACCACAAAATAAAAGTAAATAATCCCTCCCCCACTGCAGACCGACCCATGGGTTATGACCTCTCCGTCACCTTGTAACACTACCCCTAGTCCCCTCCCCCCTCCATGATCTGTCTGCCATTATCCAGGGGTGGCTCCAACAGACTTCACCCTACAGCTATTGTCCTCTCTGTTTACATTCAGCCAATTACTTTTCATAGGCCCATAAAGAACAGCACTGTATAGCGTTGTCAATGTTTAGAGAAGAATAACTTTGGTTTGTTTTACAAAAGGGAGACTGGTTACAATCACAATGATGTTTGAGAAACATATCAGCTAACAAGCTCAGATCTGATAGGGGAAATTGGCATTCACGATACCTGATTTAGACACAAAATGTCCACAAATGAAATTATTTGTTCAAATTTCATTTAAAAATATGTTCATGAAGAATACCGTTTCAGCAAATTGGTGGCCAACTGACAAATAAAAGTATTCAAACACTGCATCCCAGGGACTCAGTGCAACTTTTGTCAACTGAAGAATGTAAATCAGTCAACAGTCAGTGCTAACACAGGTCAACAAGGGTTAACATGGACTATGCACTGGTCAACAAGGGTTAACATGGCCTATGCACTGGTCAACAAAGGTTAACATGGCCTATGCACTGGTCAACAAGGGTTAACATGGACTATGTACTGGTCAACAAGGGTTAACATGGACTATGCACTGGTCAACAAGGGTTAACATGGACTATGCACTGTCAACAAGGGTTAACATGGACTATGCACTGGTCAACAAGGGTTAACATGGACTATGCACTGGTCAACAAAGGTTAACATGGACTATGCACTGGTCAACAAGGGTTAACATGGACTATGCACTGGTCAACAAGGGTTAACATGGAATATGCACTGATAACAAAGGTTAACATGGACTATGCACTGTCAACAAGGGTTAACATGAGCTATGCACTGGTCAAAAAAGGTTAACATGGACTATGCACTGGTCAACAAAGGTTAACATGAGCTATGCACTGGTCAACAAAGGTTAACATGGACTATGCACTGGTCAACAAGGGTTAACATGGACTATGCACTGGTCAACAAAGGTTAACATGAGCTATGCACTGGTCAACAAAGGTTAACATGGACTATGCACTGGTCAACAAAGGTTAACATGAGCTATGCACTGGTCAACAGAGGTTAACATGGGCTATGCACTGGTCAAAAAAGGTTAACATGGACTATGCACTGGTCAACAAAGGTTAACATGAGCTATGCACTGGTCAACAAAGGTTAACATGGACTATGCACTGGTCAACAAGGGTTAACATGGACTATGCACTGGTCAACAAGGGTTAACATGGACTATGCACTGGTCAAAAAAGGTTAACATGGACTATGCACTGGTCAACAAAGGTTAACATGAGCTATGCACTGGTCAACAAAGGTTAACATGGACTATGCACTGGTCAACAAGGGTTAACATGGACTATGCACTGGTCAACAAGGGTTAACATGGAATATGCACTGTCAACAAAGGTTAACATGGACTATGCACTGTCAACAAGGGTTAACATGAGCTATGCACTGGTCAACAAAGGTTAACATGGACTATGCACTGGTCAACAAAGGTTAACATGAGCTATGCACTGGTCAACAGAGGTTAACATGGGCTATGCACTGGTCAAAAAAGGTTAACATGGACTATGCACTGGTCAACAAAGGTTAACATGAGCTATGCACTGGTCAACAAAGGTTAACATGGACTATGCACTGGTCAACAAGGGTTAACATGAACTATGCACTGGTCAACAAGGGTTAACATGGACTATGCACTGGTCAAAAAAGGTTAACATGGACTATGCACTGGTCAACAAAGGTTAACATGAGCTATGCACTGGTCAACAAAGGTTAACATGGACTATGCACTGGTCAACAAGGGTTAACATGGACTATGCACTGGTCAACAAGGGTTAACATGGAATATGCACTGTCAACAAAGGTTAACATGGACTATGCACTGTCAACAAGGGTTAACATGAGCTATGCACTGGTCAAAAAAGGTTAACATGGACTATGCACTGGTCAACAAGGGTTAACATGAGCTATGCACTGGTCAACAAAGGTTAACATGGACTATGCACTGGTCAACAAGGGTTAACATGGACTATGCACTGGTCAACAAGGGTTAACATGGACTATGCACTGGTCAACAAGGGTTAACATGGAATATGCACTGTCAACAAAGGTTAACATGGACTATGCACTGTCAACAAGGGTTAACATGAGCTATGCACTGGTCAACAAGGGTTAACATGGACTATGCACTGGTCAACAAGGGTTAACATGGCCTATGCACTGGTCAACAAAGGTTAACATGGACTATGCACTGGTCAACAAGGGTTAACATGGAATATGCACTGTCAACAAAGGTTAACATGGACTATGCACTGGTCAACAAGGGTTAACATGGACTATGCACTGGTCAACAAGGGTTCGTCACGGTCGACCAGGCTCCGAAATCGAATGCGACGATGTTACATGAACTCTGTTGTTGACATTCTAACTTAATCAAAGGGAGATAACTATTAACTTCCACATTTCTAACACTGGTCAACAAAGGTTAACGTGGTCAACAAGGGTTCGTCAGGGTCGACCAAGGTTTTGAAATCAACTGCAACACTGTTACACGAACTATCGTGTTGAAAGTCTAACTAAATGGAAGGTTGATAACTCTTACCTTCCACCACAAGCTTTATGAGCTGTGATATGGCCCCCACCGAGTTGCTAAACGTGCACATGTATATTCCTCCGTCGTCCCGCTGCACATTGCTGATCTTCACGTCTTTGTTCTCCACACGCACACGCAACGAATCTTGTAATGGGCGGCCATCTTTGTACCAAGTGAGGGTCGGTTTGGGCGATCCTTTCCCCCTGCAGAACAGAGTGATGGACTCGCCTCTTCGATGTTGAAGCAGTTTTCGGGAACTGGCTACTATCCTTGGCGGAGCTGGAATAAGAGGAAACGTATGAAATCATCTGTTACAGCATACAGTGTCATCAAGGCTAAACATGGCATAGCATTTAAGAGACAAATGAGAAACTCGATTCAAAAAGGAATTTCAGTTATAAAACACAATGTTCACTGAATGTAGTGTGTCTGTGTCTGTGTGTGCTTGGGTGAGTTGGTGAGTGAGTGAGTGAGTTTAGTTTTACGCTGCACTCAGCAATATTCCAGCTATATGGCGGCGGTCTGTAAATAATCAAGTCTGGACCAGACAATCCAGTGATCAACAGCATGAGCATCAACCTGCGCAATTAGGAACTGATGACATGTGTCAACCAAGTCAGCGAGCCTGACCACCCGATCCCGCTAGTCGCCTCTTACGACAAACATGGGTTACTGAAGGCTCATTCTAACCCAGACCTTGACGCGTACGTGTGTGCTTGGGGAATGTGCTGCATGTATGAGTTCAACTTATACTGGTTTCATGGTACCAGCAGGTGAGGTGCTCCAGGTTACCATGTATTAGTTCAAGTGACTGAATCCATTGTATGAAAATACTATCAGTGAGTCAGTGAGTATGGTTTACACTGCTTCTAGCAATATTCCAGCAATATCACACATTGTATCCATGTGGGGCTTCAAACCCAGGTCATCAGCGTGATGATCCAATGCTGTAACCACTAGACTACCCCACTGCCCCATCAATGATTTAATAAAAGTAGAAATTCCATGAGAATTATATCTAAAAAACCTTTGCACAACATCAGACTGAGTTGTTCATCTGTTTTGTCATTACACTGTCCAGAATGTAGATCAATGCAGTTGAGCATTATGCTCCCGTCTATGACAGCTGCTCTGCCCCTTTAACTAAACATGTCTAAATGATGCATTATGGGATAATAATGACCTATTGGTCAGTAAACGGCAGACAAACACAAGGCATTCTTGACCAATGAGAAGCCTCCAAGCTCTATTCAAGTAAGTTTCTTTGATTGACAAATGAAATGCCAAATTAGAAAATTACATTAACATCACTCAGAAAACTTCAGAAAGGTCGCGAGGATCACTAGTCGTTTTTTCAAGTGAAAAAAACATTTAACAAAAATTGTCTGTGATGGAAAGCCGTTACAAAAGCTCCACATTTTTCCAAGAAATCTAGTTACAGTAGAACCCAGCTGGAGAATCAGACGACCATCTTTGATCTTGAACACAAAGTGTAATTTTCAAGACTAGGTACAAAAGGAGCCAGCATTATCCGTGACAATCCCCGATATTCAAAGATATCTTCTGTCATTGTCAAATGTCGACTCATGATCAGATTCGATGAAGTAACATCACCATATCCTTTTTTCAAAGTAGTTTAGGTTTACAAAGGTTGAGCTTCGTAAATTGGTTTCTCACAAAAATAATAACTGGAATGGAATCAAAAGATGAACTGATGAACACAGAAATGAAATGTGGTTCTGACAGACCCGGGATCTGTAACCATGGAGATTAGCACTGTGATGATGTCAAGGTGACGACAGGCATTAGGATTAGTACCACATAAAAATCTCATACAAAGGTCACTTGAAAAAAAACCTTTAATCCTCTGGATGTTTTTATGCAAAAAACTCAAGCTTACAAAATTAAAGTTTCAATACAACTTTCTCAATACACATCACTTGATGATAGAGTTCCACACATTGCATTAAGAACGGTTTTATAGATATTACTAAACTTTTCAATGTTTCCACACTAGGGAGCTCCAAATTGCAAAATAACTTGGCAAGGGAGGTAACTCTGATGTGACTAAAATCCTGGGCAGGCGCAATGACATTTTGAGCAGGTGCAGAAATGGTCTGAAAACATATACCTGTACTTCATTTGCACATACCAGCATCAAAAGCTTAAAAAACATAATCATCTTTCTACCATCAATCTAGCTGTGTAGAGTTAATTATTATGTGGTTATTAACTCTTTAAATTCACAAATTACACCAATTTTTCATAATATACAATATTTTAATTATTTTTCCTTTTTACAAAGTTTATGGGAATATGACTGTAGTTTCTTGAAGGAGACTCATAAATGGGGTCCACAATTTGTACCACACTGGGAAATGAACCCAAGCCCTTTGCCTGAAAGGCAAACACTGTGACAACTAGGCTACCCTTTCTCTCTCTCCTAGTTTCAGTTCACTGTTGGTAAGGAGGAGTTGAAATGTGAATTGTAGGTTATTAATTTATCAGGTCGCTTATTTAAAATCTAACATTTTTTTATCTGGTAGGTTGATCCAGACAGTTATTTTTACAAAATACTTTAAAGGTCACCCACCATGTCAAATAGAATTAAAATAAAAAATGTATAAAACCTTTCCCTAAATCAATTTTCGAACAAAGTATTCATCTTGATCCGATTCCTACAACCTGCAAAGGTTAACAAGTAAGGATATGATCATGTTCAGTACAAAAGGCATTTTATTCAAGGAAGCTCTCGTAAAATATCCCCTAACATCAGCTCTATTCACTGTAAACTTCTGTGAAACCAGACCATATAACAGTCTATTACAAGCTCCCTGGTGATAACACTGCTCTTAATACGACATGGCAGAGTTGAAAACTATTCCAATCGAACTCTTGACTTTATCTTACAAATCAACAATGGATAATTATGACAGAGTTATAAGTAAGATATGACACCAGTTGTGCTGGAGAGCTGAAATAGTATCTGGAAATTACTTTCCGATCCACAAAGTGTTCGTAGCGTTACAAGGTATCATAACTATTTAGTTTATCATAGGATTATGATTCATTCGAATGATGTAGCGCTAGGAATGCTGTGTGTATCGGGTTCCTAGATCCCATCTGTCTGGGATAGTATTACAAAGATGGTGCCTAGTTTTATTGAAGTTTTAAAGTTGTTTACTTCCTAAGTCCATATATTTGGCTTTGTAAGCCACCGAGATGCGAAACTCTGACATGTAACCAGCTTGCCATGGGGACAGTGATCAGTTTCCTTTAAGTCCTGAGTTTATCACACATAAATCTGTCTGCTTTCTTACAGACGGGGTCCACTGGGAATTTCAGATAAAAGGACAAACTGCGATATACAAAACCATTGTAATCCTTTTGATGCCTTGTGTTAGCCCCAGAGGAATAAAATTACCATCCTGAGATGCTTAGAAACATTCACTTAATTCCCACCAGTCATCAGTTATCTGTCACAATCATCACCATCATCATCATCATCATCTGAAAACTGTCATATACATATTCATTGTCATTAATAGTTTTAGTCCATCGTCATAATCACCATCATCATCATCACCACCATCATCATCATCATCACCACCATCATCATCACCATCATCATCATCATCATCATCATCATCATCATCATCATCATCATCATCATCACCACCACCACCATCATCATCATCATCATCATCACCACCACCACCATCATCATCATCATCATCATCATCACCACCACCACCACCATCGTCATCATCGCCATCATCACCACCATCATCATCATCACCACCATCATCGCCATCATCATCACCACTACCATCATCACCACCATCATCGCCACCATCATCGCCATCATCATCGCCATTGCCATCATCATCATCGTCATCGTCATCAAAACTTAAATTTAATCATCCACTCAATTTGTTTCTTATGAGTATTCTCATCTTCATTATCATCATCACCACCGTCATACAGCAACAGCGACAACAACATCATCACCCAGCTGGCCAGAATACTGTGTTCAATATCTCCTTACCAGTCCTCTGTCCAATGCTAATCATCTTTGTTGTGTCTACAATGGGCAAATAATGTTTGTCTATGGGGCCTATTTCCAATGACAGTAACACAGCGGCAATGTGAAATCGGATTAAAAAGTCTTCATGTGTCTGAAAACACCTACTACATTGTCCATCCTCAATCAGCCGTCTAGACACACTGGAAGTTTTACTAACAGTGTCAAAATAGCAGTTTGAACCTTTGAGAATACTAGTGGAATAGGTTGCTTAGAGTGAGTGAGTGCTTGAATGCTTTAGAAAGTGAGTGTTTGAATGCTTGAGACAGCGAGTGCTTGAATACTTGAGTCAGTGCTTGAATGCTTGAGAAAGTCAGTGCTTGAATGTTTGAGTGAGTACTTGAATGTTTGAGACAGTGAGTGCTTGAATGTTTGAGTCAGTGCTTGAATGCTTGTGAAAGTGAGTGCTTGAATTTTTGAGTGAGTACTTGAATGTTTGAGTGAGTGCTTGAATGCTAGAGAAAGTGAGTGCTCGAATGCTTGGGAAAGTGAGTGCTTGTATTTTTTAGTCAGTGCTTGAATGCTTGAGAAAGTGAGTGCTTGAATGCTAGAGAAAGTGAGTGCTTGAATGTTTGAGTCATTGCTTGAATGCTTGAGAAAGTGAGTGCTTAAATGCTTGAGAAAGTGAGTACTTGAATGTTTGAGTGAATGAGTGCTGACAGTAATGAAAATCACAATCTCTAATTAAATTCCCTATTAATTATTCATATATATATATATCTTTCCCAGTGATATCTTTACTTAATGGGGGCGGTGGGGTAGCCAAGTGGTTAAAGCGTTTGCCCATCACGCCGAAGGCATGGGTTCGATTCCCCACATGGGTACATTGTGTGAAGCCCATTTATGGTGTCCCCCAATGTGATATTGCTGGAATATTGCTAAAAGCGATGTAAAAGCTTACTCGCTCACTCTTTACTTAGTGTTTGAGGAAAGGATAAAGGTCACAGACAAAAGACATTCACATTTCTCTGAACCCACATCATAGATATGACGCTCTCAAATCATGAACAGGGCCAATACAGGATTCAAATCACAAACAGCAGATCCTTGTACACAAGGCACACAACTCTGTAAGAGAACAGTTACACTTCATTTTTCTCTAAACCCACAACATAGATATGCAGCAGATCCTTGCACACAAGGGAGACAACTCTGTCCCATCAGGCCACACCACACTTTTAAAGTACAGCCATAC